TGCTAATTTATTTTTATTCTGATGTTTATTGTAAATACCAAATGTTTGGTTTATGTAAATCATTGGAAAATAAAAGTAGGATCGTCCCACACGAAAGATAAAAAAAATAATTGCGACTTCGCGCTTCATCACTTGATATTTATCTTGACAGGAATAGAGAATGTTAAGGAAGTATCCTCAGATACTAATTCGCTATTATTGTTATTGTCCATTTTGTTCATTATCAGTATCATTGTTATTTTCATTGTTATTGCTCTTTTCGTTGTCGTTTTCATTATAATTATCATTTGGGACTTTTCGCATCAAATTTTAGACAACCTTAGAATATTTACTTTAAAAAAAAATTATATTTGTCCCAACGTATGCGATTTATGCCGGCCTTTTGCAATAATCAAGGATTAGTATTAGCTATGTTCCGACGATCACTACTATCCAATGCAAGTTAATGAGAAATCCAGTCAAGGCACGAGAATTACACGGATAGTTATATTACTGGTGTTTCAATAAAACGAAGACGGCAAAACAGGAATTGCACTAGGCATAGGCTAGGGCGAATGCTATGGCGAGGGCCTTCCTGGGCTTATGACTCTTTTGGTAGGCCATCCCAACTATCGATAAATAAAAGTCAGTTATAGCAATTTAATTGTTTCATTTCCACTTAGTAGAGAAAAGCGAAATAACAGACTTTTGAGTTTTTTCTTTTACCTAGCCTAAGCTACCTATAAACATTAAGAGATTTTCGTAGATTTACCAAGCTAACTATCATATGTTGTTTTGCTAGTGGCTAAAGATAAGGCTACCGTATTAGCTGTAATCTCAGAATCTTGTATCCCACTGACGTTCGCCGTATATCGTTCAGCCGTATCTTTAGACACAGCGAACGAACTACCACGGTATGACGCGAATATTTATATGGAAGTTTACAACGAACGGTAGTAATAGAATTCATTTTGTAATGTTTTATTTTGATTCCCTTTGACAATTATAAAATAATTAAAAAAAAACAACTCAAAAAGGTAATTTTAAAGATGCCTTGGTTAATATTCAACTAGGACTAGAATTGTCGCTAAAACGAGACTACGGTAAGAATGGCCCTGGAAAAATGGCCCAGGAAAAAATGGCCCCGGAAAAATGGCCCTGGTAATAATGGCCCGGTAAAAATGGCCCCAAATGACAAGTAGGTAAAAATGGCCTCAATAATAAAATTCTGTATTAAAACTGATTTTTTAAAAATCATTATAGGCCTATGCATTTTTTAACTGAAATAATTTAGTTTTTAAAAAGGAATCTAACATCAAATAAATTGCCATTTTAACCAAAAAATAGGTTCTTGAATATTTAATTTTCTTATTGATATACCAAGTGAGTCAATCAAAATTGAATTGTTTGGTTTTCTACAGTGTGTTTTGAGAGGTTTGTGGGATTTAGCAATACCATTTAATCCTACCATAATTACCCTACCCTCACAATTACACGCCATTTTAATTCATAGCATAACTGCCATATTTACATTTGTATATAGTATCTCAGTTTACATTATTTAGTATAGTTTTAGACACTTAAATTTCTTAAGGTTCTTATGAATATTTAATTTTCTTATTGACATACCAAGTGAATCAATCAAAATTGAATTGTTTGGTTTTCTACAGTGTGTTTTGAGAGGTTTGTGAGATTTAGAAATACTATTTAATCCTACCATAATTACCCACCCTCACAATTACACGCCATTTTAATTCTTAGCATAATTGCCATATTGACATTTGTATATATATAGTATCTCAGTTTACATTATTTAGTATAGTTTTAGGCACTTAAATTTATCCACATGCTTTAACTACCGTACTGTTTATTTGCACTGTTTATAACATGTAAAGTTATATCATTTGAAACTTAACAAAAGTGAATTTTGTGGTTATATATGAGTTGCATATTTTGGTAGTTGAAGTACTGTATGTATGTCATTCTTCTACTTTGTTAGTGGAATAACGTTTTTAAAACTTATTTCTTCTGTACCATCAAAAAATGTTATTCAATGGCCATTGTTTTCCAAAAATCTCTCAGTACATTATTTGCATCTGTTGTGTAATTGTATTTGTTATTGATTCAATTCTTGCTTTTTACAGCTAGTTTTTAAATATTTGAAGATTTAAAAAAAATATTATTTCTATTACTGAATTTTTTCATTGGGGCCATTTTTACCTACTTGTCAATTGGGGCCATTTTTACTGGGCCATTTTTTCCGGGGCCATTTTTTCCTGGGCCATTTTTTTCCAGGGCCATTTTTACCTACATTCCCGTAGTCAAGCTACAGATGTTATTGTGGTAAAATGTTCCTTGGATGAGAACCTTCGCCAATCCGGTCATTTGTCGGTATTAGCTTTGGGGTTGAAGCGCGTGTTTTCTATCCCGTTCATACGGTTGGTGTCAACCAGTGGTGGCGCCAGAGGGGGACGGAAGCATAGCCACCCCCCCTCCCCCTCCCCGTCGAGGAAAACGAGTAACTTTTGTCAGGGAACAAACAAATAAAAAAAAATTACATGTAATGTTCGTTTAGCCAATATATTGTTTTTCTTATTTGTGTTAACTTCTCATCACAACAACAATAATAATAATAATGATAATAATAATAATAATAATAATAATAATAATAATAATAATAATAATAATAATAATTCAATAAGACTAATTACAAATAATTTCCGTTCTGTTATGACAAATACTTGTTTGGATAGCCTCATGATGCTTGGAATCGTGATAGATGAAGCAACCTCGACCATGACAGAGTGGTTAACAGATTTCATGCAAAATTTCCAAAATATAGAATTTCACTTTCAAGAATGAGGATTTGAAAATAAATTAGATGGTTACATTGCATACTCTTTGTTTCTTGTATTATTCAAAATGTTTTGGTTTTGAAAGCTGATTTCGACATTAGAAAGCATAGTCTACATGAAGTCATATAATAGTAACTCGATGCCTATCAAATATTAAAAAAAAATTGCCATAATTCATCAAATATCCGTGTCTTCCTAGGGGCGAACCCCCCTGGACCCCCACCGGGGCCCCTGTGCGTCCCCTTGGCCAAGTGAGTCTCGATCCGCTCCACCTCATAACAAGCGCTTGTTCGATAACTTCGATATCACCGTGAGTAATTACACCGTCGGAACAAGGCTTAGGCAAGGATGACGATAATGATAATGTCGTACAGCTACAGGCCCGTAGCGTGACTTTCTTTTGTGGGAGGTTCGTTTCTATTGAAAGTGGACCCTTTGGCTTGTATGATCTCCGATACTCTTGAGAAAATCGCAAATATGTTTACGAATGTCAATTTTTCGTTTATAAATGCGGACCTTCTCCAGTATTTAAGCGGTTCATCGCAACCCCATTAACCCCCTTCCCACGGTACAGGCTTGACGTATTAGTATTCGTAAGTATTTTCGTGATGTTGCAAAATCTCCCTTTTATTAATTATTTGACTTTTCCCATGACTGAGGGAAAGGTCTTGTTTATTTTTTGTTTTCATCCCTGTACTTCTTTACGTTTAGCTGTTTCTCTACAGGATTTTTTAAATTTAAAAATATTTGTTTATTTGTTGTTTTTGTCCCCGTTCTTTTCTACATTTACCTGATTCGTGACAGGATATTTTAACCCTCGACTTTAAACATTATCAGTTATAATTATCATTATCATTATCATCAACAACTTCAAAATAACCTTTGATTTCTTACCTTATGGGTCATGTACATCATTGTTGCTGGGGAAACCCATTCGCGTGAATGAATGCCACCCTCAAGCCAAACAATCGGTTTATCTTTTCCAGAACCGAGCTAAATAATAAATAATAAAAGGTAAATAGAGTGATATATATACATAACTGTCTCTTATACACATCTAGATGTGTATAAGAGACAGTATATACATATATACACAAATATATATACAAATATATATACACATATATATACACATATATATATACATATATATATACATATATGTACATACATACATACATACACATATATATATACACACATATATATACATGTATACATTATACACACACACACATACACATATATATGTATATATGTATATAATTTTTGATAGCCCTAAACAATTTATAAAACACTTAGTAGCATATGATATTTTACCTTCAATGCGTAAATACTACGACCTTCGTATGAGCTCCCCACCCTCACTTTAGACGCCAGTGTGGGGTATTCAGACACAATATCATCAATCCATGCGTTGATCTATGTAATAAAGGGTTAATAACGTTTGTAATTGGTGGTTTTTGTTTATGATAGTGTAAAGTAAGCATACTTATCCAAATTCCAGAATTGTATCTATGAGTGTGTGTAGTTATCCAGGCAAAGGAAAATTAAGGCAGAGATATTGATATTGCGTTTAGAAAGTTTAATATTATAAACAAAACTGGAAAAACATGTGATAGAAGTTTATTCCAACTTCTAGGAATGAATGAGCTAGAATGAGACGAAAGTGGATGTAGAAACGAAGTTTTGTATACTATGTGTATCGTATGTTCTACTACATGTTGAACTTTCGGCCCATGGTTCTCCTATATGAACCCTTTAAGGTACTTTACTCGTCACATAATGTAATAATTAAATACCTCATCTAATGTATGGTATACTTTGTAGTCGAAAGAACCGCCACCACCGATAATTCCTTTAGCACTCATCTCACGACTGTGACGCATCTGGTCGTCAATGAGGGGCTGGATATCTTCTATAACGATATCAACGATCAAGTTGTACTCTTTAGTGATGGCCAACACGGTTGCTACCATTTGCGGAGGAACCATGATGTCCACGGGTGATCCTGCCACTCGGATGTCTTTCCAGAAATCTACCTGTTGAAACAAAAATAATTCATAAAAATATTTTTAAAAAATGAAATATTAAACAATTTTATAATA